TTTTTTTTTTTTTTTTTTTTTTTTTTTTTTTTTTATTTTTTTTTGCTTAGTTTATTAACCTTGTTGGAACCTTTTTTTTTTTTAAACAGAGAGTCCACACCGGAAGAGAGATACTCTTTTAAAGCAACTATGACTTCAGTATTTCCAAAAAGAATTCACATTCAACACCAGACAAGTAGTTGGGACAAAGCAATAATAATTTTCATATTATTATTAAGTTCCAGATAAGGATGTCTAAGAAAAAGGAAACTAACCTCAAGACCTAAGTATAGGGTATACTCAAATGGTCAGATAAATACTTCCTTCTGCAACCAACCGATTGGTTTTGCTGTTAACATCACCCACTACCAGGCAGTATGACACGATATTTTTCTGGTGCGTTCTCTGGTGAGATTTGTTGCAAGTGCTATTTGCCCTCCAGCACCTGGTATCCTTCCCAGAGGCTGGAAGGGTGGCTTACCGTCTAGGACAACGGCTTCTTCCTCCTGGCCATTCAGGCCTTCTTCCTGGAGGCTGAGCTCTCCTGGCTCCGTTAAGCCATTGACGGTGGACAGCTGACCATTCTTCTGTAGGAGCTATGGGGAAAGCAAAGCAATGAAACTTAATTTCGGTTCTCACAACCAAGTTAGAAATAATACATCAACTTCCGTAACTTCCACAATATAAACCATTGAAAGGAAAAAATACAAAGAAACAGAGGTTCAATAAAAATAAAGATATTAAGACTTTTTTTTGGAGACAGAGTCTTGTTGCTCTGTTGCACCAGCCAGAGTGCAGTGGGGTCAGCCTAGCTCACTGTAACCTCAAACTCTTGGGCTCAAAGTATCCTCCTGCTTCAGCCTCCCAAGTAGCTGGGACTACAAACGTGCACCACTGCACCAGCTAATTTTTCTATTTTTAGTAGAGATAGGGTCTTGCTCTTGCGCTAGCTGGTCTCACACTTCTGACCTCAAGTGTTCCTCCTGCTTATAGAAGTGCTAGGATTATAGGTGTGAAACACCACACCCAGCCAGGATACTAAGTCTTGGATTCATATGCACTACCCAGCTTCCTAACAAAAGGCCTTGTATCTGGGCACATGTGCACACAAATCAGTGATCCACTCATTCATTCATATATCTGAACCCCAGGCAGGGTATAAACACTCAGCTTTCCAGGCCTATTTCAGGTATCACAATGACTAAGTCAGGTGTGGTCCCTACCACTTTGAGCTTACAAACTACTATGGGAGGCAGACTTTTAAAAAACATTTTTTACTTTAAAATAATGAAGTATGTTTCCTTGTGATTAGATGCAGATCATGCTATTTGACTGCAACGCACAAGTGACAATGGTTTCTCCTCGGGTTAGAAGGAAGACGTTGAAACAAATCATCACTAAACTGCAGCTGTGGAAACTGTCATGAAGGAGGCACACAGAGAGCAAATGACAATGAACAGAGCCCAAACCTGGGCTGGGGTGTCTGGGGCTTCTCTGAGGAAGTAACGGGAGAGCTGAGGCTTCATTTCCATGGGCAGGGGCTGTGTGAGGAAAGGGGTGCGAGTCAGAGGGCCTGGGGTGCAAGGCGGGGTGCCCAGAACCCAGCGATACGTAACGTACGCATTGGAGTTACGGTTTTTTCCTTAAAAATATTACTAAAGTGGTCATTTGCGATCCTCCTCGTAGGATGGCCTACACAATTGATGCCATCAATTTCAAAAAACGGCAGGCATGTAGTCATGCCCTTGGTCATTTTTTAAATCCTGAGACTAAAAGTTTGACGTTTTAAGCCAAATAAAAACGGCGCCATACCTCTTAGGAACCCAAAGATTTCTATAATGCTTTGTGGTTTGCACTCACTGCTCATTTATACGAAAACCCACTTAGACAGCTGCTGTTATTTCCCTGTTATAGGTAAGGACACTGGGACTCAAAGTGATTGCAGTGGGGCAGGCCAGTGTCTTGCCACACGTCCCACAGCTCAGCAATGGGGGACCCCAGGGCTCAAGGACCAGTCCTACTACCAACTGCTTCTAGGGGTTTTCCACAATGCTGTGAACCTTTTAAGACTCCTGATATAAAGACAGGCACCACATGTTTTTGGTTTTTTTCCCCACCCTCATCCAACCTTGGCACCGCATTTCAAAGGACCGGTTACTTCACACAAGTGTAAAATGCCTTAAAGGGTATTCCACAGTACCAGGCCTGCCTGCTACAGGGGAATCTCAAAGCTCACACTCCATGTGACAGCCATCCGTCCTGCTTGCAGGCCAACCAAAGACCCTGGCCAAACCAGTGACTTAGATCAGAGTCCTGAAGGGACAGTGGGTCAAGACAGTCAATCCAGAAGCTTTGAGTTGTGCTGAATTGATTGCACCTGGCTGCCCCCTGCTCCCAGCAAGGCTGTCCTTCAACTGCATGAGCTTCCTCCTGCAATAATACTGCACTTCACTTACACTACCGATGGAAGAGCTGGCTGCAAAACGCCCATGCTGAGTCCATTTATTAAACAGAATACTCAGATTACATTTCCACTTAAAGTCTTCTCTTACCAAAATATGAAAGATAGGAATTTTAAATGAAACCTAAAGACATAAGCAGGGGGTGAGGAGAGTGTCTCCAAAAAGACCATCAGCAAAAATGTCAGAGGATTTTAAGTAAATATCATTGGTTATGTGCACAGGTTAGACTATGATTTGATTACTAATGTGAAGAAGAGCCAAGGAGGAAAGCTGGAATCATATATTACAGTGGGCTACAAGGCAACCCAATGAGTCTAAAAAATGTGACGTACATACCATGCTATGGCAAACTAAATGGGGAACATGAAAATGCCATCCTCATATCTCAATTTCAATGCAATAAACTTTGGTCAATTGTACTTCTTGTTTAGGAACCAGAACTCTGAAGTTCGATAGAGTTTTGAGTTCTACAGGGTTTCTCTAATTCTTGAAAAAATTCGTATAATTCTTTGTGAACTGTTTAATCCAAGGTAACTTTAGCTGTAGCCAAATTGAGTCTCTTTAAACATGAAGGATCTATAGGACACTGGCACAAACTTCCATCTACTCTTCTAGAAATGTCACGTGCAGAGCAAAGAGATGATAGAGAAGGAGTATTAAAAACTGAGGCTGACTGTGGGACCTCTTTTTATTCTAAGTGTGATAGTAAGTATTGCAAGGTAGTCAGCTGCAGCGGCTACAGGGTAACTGTCACTGCTTTAGAAAGGCACTGGATGCATAATTAACTTTGGTAGTGGACAATTTATGACAGTAGAATTACTGAAACTGAGTTTTGAGTCTGTTTTACCCAACCTTTGACCCCACAGGTGATGTCTCGGGTAAGCATTCAGAGCCCATGACAAACCAACACTCCAGAGAAAACTGGGACTTCATTTCTAGTCAGACTGTCATATGCAGATATTTCCACTATTGTCCTTTCATTTACAGATGCTTTGCATATCTCATGTACAGATAGACAATACACCTTTTTTCTTCCCAAATCAAATGCTTCTATTTTCTTTTTCTCCCATCCCTAACCATCTAAATAATTAGCTGGGCGTGGTGGCATATGCCTGTAGACCCAGCTACTCGAAAGGCTGAGGCAGGAGGATCACTTGAGCCTATGAGTTCAAGGCCACAGTGAGCTATGATGGCACCACTGCACTCTAGACCAGATGACAGAGTAAGACCTTATCTCAAAAAAAAAAAAAAAAAAAAAAAAGAAAGAAAAATTCAGGGACTTCTAAGAGTTATCAATAGGTTAAAGTCACCTCAAGTCATAAGAAATCTAACCCACATTCATTTAAGTCCTTTCCATCTATGCGTATACATATATAGGAACATAAGCATTCACTTTGTTAAAAAACAAAAATGGGGAATGCGTGCTGTTATAACCTGATAGTTTCACACATTTGGGATGTGTTTCCTTATCAATAAACATGCATCTTGCTCACCTTCAATCAGTCCCTCTTGTCCCTGCAGCTCAAATGGCCACAGAAGACAGGACTGATCCAGACAAGCTCTGCCAGGATAGACCCTGAAGGACACAGCATGGTGGCACACAGGATGGAAAATGATGGAGCCAGGTGGGATTTCAGGGCCAGCTAATTCAGGGAGGAAAGCAGTTTTGGGATTTAAGTTTTCCAAACAAAAAAAGGAGAAGGAAAATCTGTATTCTACTTTTTCACTCTTAAGCTTCCATAGCTTTATCTATTCCTCTTCAACTTTGTCTTACAAAGACAGTTATTTCTTTTGAGATGAGAACTAGATTTGAAAGACATGCTCCCTACACTTACACGTGGTAAGCACCAGAAAACCTATTTTCCCACTAAATTTGTGCTTCAAAAAACATAAACACCTCTTTTGAACAAATCAAAACCCTACATGTTTTCAAGCTTATATCCTTTGAATGGGTCAGCCAGAGTTTATTCCCGTAAAGTATTACCATATTACAACTAAACAAGTTTAAAAAAAAAAATCTCAAATGCTTCCAGCAACAGTGTTTTCTTCTCATTTCCGTAAGAGCAACAACTAATTATAGCCAAAGTGATAGCCAGGGCATTGCAGAAAAACTACCAGACTTCTCTGTTCCCTTTTCTTCTCCCCAGGACTGCTCAAGACTTGCTTTGAACCCCCTTTGTGGAGTAAGGAGTAGGAGTATCAAGTTCTTTGGTGAATTTGTTAAATAGTGAACAAAACAGATGAGCCCTGACTGCCGTCAGTATGGTGGGGGTGGAAGAGGTGAACCTACTAAAGTAACCAATTTCAGTTCAGAAGTGACACTCCCGGATCTCTACTCTGAGGTGGAAGTGGCCCAGCTTTGCTGTAGTACCCAGGGTCGATGGCTCCAACCAGCACAATTCATCCCACCTACAGCAGGAAAGCCCAAGAAGCAGAACTGTTAAGTGGCCATAAATGGGAAGGAACCAGAAATTATAAAGTCAATAAAGGACACATGCACAAATGATCAGAATAAAAAAGATTATCTGGAAGGAATTTTAAGTCCCATGACAAAACTCGTAAAGAAAACTCTTCAATGTGTTTTTTTTTTCCTTCATTCTAATAGAAAGCATTTTGAAAGTAAACCTTTAAAAATGTCACACAGACAAAAATAAAAATCAGAGCATAAATCAGTAAATAATATCCCTTGGGGAGTAATTTGGAAACAGGTGTAAAAATTTTAAATGTGCACACCCTTTGGCTACACTGCTGTTCTCATGCATATGGCATTACATACTTAGGTAGTCAGAGGAAAATGATGTGCAACACACAATTTATAACAGCAAAACATCCTAAGAGTCTATCAGTAGAGGGGAATAATTAAATGATGGGACATCCATACAACAGACAGCATCAAAAGTGACAAGGTAAATCTAGACTCATTCATGTGGGAAGATGTCCCCAGTTTAAGCAGAAGAAAAGCAAGTTGCTGAGAATGTTTGATTCCTTTATGTGTTTAAAACCAAACCAAACCAAACAAAAATAACCCACTAACAAAAAAGGGAAGGAGAGGGAGAGTCAATATTTGTTTGTATAAGCATTTAAAAAAAAAAAAAAGTCTGGCATAAATATATACCAAATCTTTAATAATGGCT